CAGGCAGCTACCCCTCCTCGGGGCCTAGTTTTTTGTTACGTGACAAAGCTTGGTATACTCTTAATTACAATATATTTTTTGCAATCATCTTAAATAAATATTTCCATAGAGATTTCCTGTATGTGTATATATATTTTTTATATATATAATATATAAGAGAGAGAGATATCTCATTTTTTTCTTAAACCACTGTTAACATATTTTCCCTGCTTGTCCAAAAAAATATTACAAAAGCCCTAAAATTGTGCGACAGTTAGAAAAAAGGGACAACAACCCAAAGAAGGAAGGAGCCGCTCAACATAGCCCCCTCCACCGCCCCCTCTCCCACTCCCTGTCGACCTGCGGGTGGGAAGGACATTCAGCCGAGTGGCAGGGAACCGGTGGGTGGCCTTTGGGGGACGGATGGCGGAGGGGCCACCAGCCCCCCCCTCTGATGTTCCCACAGCCTGTTCACATCTGGGTTTCCCTGCCTGGTATGGATGAGCTGGGACCTGCACCTTTGGAAATGGGTAACGGCGAGGTCTGTACCCTGCTATCAGGAGGATGGTGGTTGCATCAAGAGAGCGGTGTACACCATGAGATGTGTCCTGCGGTGGGGAAGAAGGGTTAGCTCGGCTCCTGGGATGATCAGAGGAGACGGTTATGGGATCTTCTGCTGGCAGACACCTCTTTGACGTGGGGCTATGTGGCTGCTCTCTCAAACACGGCACTGCTGTTTGCTGCTCCTCCCCAGTGATCCTGCCATGGGCTGCAGAGCAGACCATGAGCTCAGAGTGTGGGCAGATGGCTGCTGCTGCCTGCTCCAACCTCTGGGGCTCCATGGGGGCATCAACTCATGGAGGGCAAAGGGAGGGGAGGCAGGTTTGGGGTCAGACGGCGGTTCCGTGCCTGTGCCTGGCCAGGGTAAGGAGAGGAGCGCCCACTCCTCCAGCAAAGAGCAGAGGCGCAGGAGTGGCCTCTTCTTCTTCCAGAGCGGCCGCACCAGCAAGACCTGAGAAATGGTGATGTTGCAGCTGGACCTGGACCCTGGCAGCCAGGAAGGGAAAACAGGCGATTCCCAAGCCCACCCGCGGAGCTGGGAGCCTGAGACCACCACAGCAAGTGCTTCCCACTCGGATATCCCCTGTGGTCTGCGAGAGGTGGAAGAGATGATCAGTTTGGAGGACTTCTGAGTTTGGTTTGACTCTGACGGCCGGGCGACCAGGTGGGTCGGGCTGTGTCTGTACTAGGAAATGAAACGTGCCACAGCCTGATGGGGACAGGAGGTCCATGGTGGTGAACTCCATCCCAACAAGGTGGCCTCGTCCATGTTGCTTATTGGGAACATGCCCTGGACCTTGTCATCCCCAGAACCATGGTGGGATTGCTGGGTGATGGCAGTTAGTATGTGTGAGGGACAGTGCCAACAGCTTAAAAGTACAGATGTAAGGGCAGCGTCCCTGGCTCTGTGAGCCCCAGAAGGATGGTGGCAGTTGGTGATTTTATTTTTTTTTTTTTTTTTTTTTTAGTTTTCCTGCAAGTTTAGGAGAAATCAGGAAATGTGAAGGAAGACAGAGACAGAAGCTGTTCACCACGGCTACTAAAAGAAAGGGTGGTGGTTTGTCAGTGCTTGCTCAGAGATGCTGTGGGGATACAGGAACCTGCTCTGGAGAAGCAGGGTGAGGTGGGGAAGAGAAACGAGGCAGAACAGACCCCTAAAGTGCAGGTGCTTAATGTTGCCAACATGGGCAGGTTGGGAAGTTGGATCTTCCTTGGTCAGGCTTCAGCTTGACTGGAAGACTAGAAAGAAGTTGAAACCCCAGACTCTGCTTCCCTTGGAAAGGATCAGGAGCATTTTAGGTGTTGCAAGGACATCCAGCTGCCTCCAAAGGAACCTGTCCCTGGAGAGATGACAGTAGGGAAGCCCCAAAGAGGAGAAACCACCTCCAAGAAGACAGCTCAAAGCCTCCCTGGAAACCAAGATGTTCCTCCCTAGCAGCGACTGCCCAAAGTGGGCTCTCAGTGAAAAGAGATTGTATCTACCTCAGCACCTCATCCGTCATCCCCGGCAAACCCCACCACACCCCCTGTCCCAGACCTTCTCCAGCAGCAGCTGCTGGAGCAGCTTCACCCCCACAGCCCACCCGAGGCCCACAGCTATTGGCAGCTCCAAAACCAGGCTGAAATGACGCCTGCACTACAGCCCCCATGCAGAGCCCTGCCGTGACCTCGTCCTTCCTCACCCATCTCGTACCAGTCCCCAAAAATACTCCTGACACCCAGAGAGCCTGTGCATCAGGAGGTGGATGAGACACTCACCATGCCTGGCTTCAGAGCCAGCTCTGGAGAGGGAGAGAGAGAACTATGAAAGAGTTCAGTCCTTCCTTTAAAAATGAAAAAAACTTCAGCACTACGCAACTGCAGGAAAAAAACCCAGATCTGTAAAAACACCCAAACTCTACCTTAAAAGCTAATCCTCTCCCTGCATAGATTTCCCTGCTTTGAGGCCATCTCCTGCAAGCCAATGCAGCTCCACTGTCAAACACCACAGGTCCGCCAAGGGCATGGGGACGTACGTTTGCACCCGTGGAGAACCTGTGTGATTTGCCCCCAAAAAGGCATCTCCTACACACATCGCCAGCAAGCAACTATCGCACCGCTGGCACACACCGAAACACCTCTCAGGGCCTGTTCATGCCCCAACAGTTTGGATTTCTACCCCTCCATCCAGTGGGAAAATATTTTTGCAGTCTGCAAGGATGTGGCTGCGTTTTGCGCAGCAGCCGTCCCTGCCTCGACAGAGAGCAAAGCATTCAAAACCACAGAAAAGGCAAAATACACACTCAGAGTTTACATGGAGAAAACATTTCCTTTTTTTTTTTTCTTTTTTTTTTCCCTTTTTTTTTATGTCCAAAACAAGCGGGTTTTTGTTCATGTCTTTGTTTTTCAACACACGCACCGTCTAGAAAGTTAAACGCCATGCAGATGAAGAGAGTGCAGCTAGAAAGTCCCCCGGGGCAGCAGCGCTGCAGGAGTCTCACATCAACGAGCAAAGAGGTTCCAGTAGGAAAAAAGAGAACAAGAAATGGAAGAATTGCCGGAAAAACACCCACCCTTGGACCTCTACCTGACGGCAAAGAGGTGAGACCAAAATTCCCCTTCCCGGCCATGTCTTCTGTCCTGAAAGCCACGTCCCGGTGGCTCCCCAAGAGCCGCCGCCTGGGTTTGCCCTGCAGGAAGATCCATGGGGTGCAGGAAGGCGCCCCGGGGAGGGGGGTGCCCCTGGAGGTGGGTGCCCCGGGGATGTGGGTGCCTTCGCCCGCCCGGTGCTGCGGGACGGGATGGGACGAGCCGCTGCGGTGTGGGGTGGGGTCTGGCAGCTGCAGGACCCCTGGTAGGAGCATCGTGGCGGCGCAACCCCTCACCAAGTGTAAACACAACGAAAACCAGCAACCCCCGAAAATCCCCCCACCCTCCCTGCCCTAAACAGTTGACTGTTTCTAGTTATTACATAAAGATCCATTTCAGCAAATACTCAAAATCAAGTTACGAAATACACGGTAGGTTGTTTTCTTTTCCCTATAAAAAGGCATGCGCGCAAAGTAGAAGACAGCTAAAGGCTTATTTGTTTTCTTCGAAGCACGATCAGATTCTGCAGAGTTTTGTTACTTTATAAAGCTTGCATTCCTCATCGTCGCTGGAAGGAGTCGTGTGGGCGATGGAGGTTTGCGCCCCGAATTGGTGGCCAGCTTGGTCGACCCCATCCCAGCCTGGGAGCCGGGCGCGGGGGGAGCGCCGGGTGCTGCATTGGAGGGGCAGGGGTGGGTGCTTCGGCGGGGCTGGGTGCTGGAGTAAAGGATCCAGGCTGGGTGGTGGGTGGGGAGGAGGGCGCAGGAGTGATGCTACCGCCGTGGCATGGCTGGGAGAGCCCCGGCTCCCGGCTGTGCCGACGCGGTGCTGGGAAGCAGTTGCCTTTCTCCTCCTCTCTTCTCCCAGCTTCGCCGGTCCCTGCTCCGAGGGGAGAAGGGAGGAAGGAGGGAGAGCATCCCTCTCAGCACGACAGCCGCTCGGAGCCAGGGCACAAGCCTACTCGCCCTCCTGGGAAGGAGCCAGCCTACAATCCTGGGAAGGGAAAATAAACAGATAGCCTTTACTCACCCGTCCAAACACTGCCCTCCTCGCCCAGGGGCGCGCGGAAGCTGGACTTTGCAAAGGGTTTAAACCGCGGTTCCCCGGCTGAGGCTGCCGGGAAGTGGGAGCTCGGGTCGGGAGCCACGGTGGCAGATGGGGACCTCCATAGCAGCAAAGCAAAATCCACCAGTGCACAGGGCAGGTGCAGCACAGAGCAGCTCAAAACTGCCCCCCCTGCCCTCCTCTTCCTCGGGGGGCTCTCAGCAGAGTTTGGGATGGAGGCGGATGACGAGTCCGAGCCCAATTCAGGAGACGTGCCGGATGGTGGGGGGTCCCAGCAACTCCATGCAGCCGAGGAGGGAGGCCTTTACCCCGGCACGCATCATCTCGCTGGCCAGATGCTCGGGTTTAGGTTCATGTTTTCTCTTTTCTTGGTTCATGCAGAGGAAGGGGGCCCAGTGCCCCGGCCCCGGTGGGGTAGGGGGGTTCGATGGGATGCTTGCGCGGCACCAGCAGGGCTGTTGCGTGTGTGCGGTGAGAAGCGAGGGGTTATTCCAGCGGGAACCAAGCAGCAGAGCCAACAGCCAAAGTCCCGTAGGTGAAGATGTCGGAGGAGGTCTCCACTTGGTAGTCAGTCAGTGACAAACCCCACACGGGCAGGACCGCGCTTCAGCTGCAAAACACAAACCGGGCAGAGAAGGAGTTTTCTTTGACCATCCCTTTGGCAGAGCATCCCTCTCCCCAACGCCATCTCATGGCCGTCGGCCATCTCCTCCCCACTGCAGATCCTCAGGGCAGGATCCCACCCGCTTCGCAGCCTCAACGCCACAAGGAGCCCACACCGTCCCCTCCACGCCCCCCCGTGCCACATCCCCGGAGCCTCACAGGGCTTACTGCGGTAGGACGGAGGGGGCGCCGGATCTGTGGAAGTGGACGATTTGCCATTTGCCATCCCGGCGGTGCCAGATGCGGCTCTCCTCGGACTGGGCGGTGCGAGGGATCCCTCCCGCGTCCACGTACTGCGTGATGCGGATGTAGGCAATGCAGGCGGACTCGTCTCCCATCAGGTGGATGTGGGGGTTCAGGATCGTCGTGTGCACGGGCTTGCTGTTCCGGGACCACACTGGAGAGGGGACAAATACAGGCAGCTTTAGGCAGGGGAAGGAGTTTGGGTGGCTCTTGCCCAAGGCAGCAGCAATGTGGGAAGGGGAGATGCTTGAGTTAAGCTCTCTGCTTAGAGGGGCTGAGTAAATGCTGCACGGGTGGGTTCAGGATGGGTCCACATAGAAAACAGCTAACCAAACAACTCCTCTGCATACAGCCCCGTCCCAGTTGACCTAGCAGGCTTGATTCACCTCCTGCTGGGATCGTCCAGATCAGCCAGGGGTGCTCCCAAAGCCACCCTTACCCTCCTCTCTCCAGCAAGCTGATGGAGGTCAAGACACAGCTGGGCCCATGGGAGGTGGGAAGGGTCCCTCGGGAGGCAAGGGGGCTGCTTACGGTTTTCAAAGTAGAATCGGTGGAAATCCAGGCCTTCCACGAGGTTGCCCAGAGCCTCGGGCTCGAAGGCAGTCATCCCAGGGTCACACATCTTCCTGGGGAGGTGAGAAGGGAAGAGAAAAGGGAGAGGTAATCTCACTGCTTCTGGCGTGAGAGCCTGCAAAACCCAAACGGCTCGTGCTCAGGATGACTCCCCCTCAGTCTGAGACCAAGGAGCCTCTGCACCAGTGAGCAATTCAAGCAGAAGTCTGGCCTCTTCCCTGCACTCTGCGTGAAGCCCACCCCACCTCACCTCCAGCCCACCAACTGCAGCCAGGACCCCAGCGAGGCAGGGTGAATTCTCCATTGGTCGCCATCTCCAATTAAACCTCCCAAAACACTGCCGTCTTCTTTGTAAGAAAGAAAAACAGCAGGGAAAAACTCATATTCTCTGCTCTGTATCAAAATACCCCTTCTGCGATTCTCTGAGGCAGGGATGAAGACCTGCACTCTCTCAGAAATCACTGATTAAATAGGCCTTGGACACAGAAGAAGCGTACTCTGAGGAGCATCAGCTCAGCAAGTAGAAAGCAGTTATGCTTCCAAGCAGCCTGTGGCAATCTGGGTATAATGGATACCATGGATGCAATGTTCCTTCTTCCACCATAAATCACGTTTACAGTTATTTGTCTTTCTGCAAACCAGAAAATGGGCTCATCCATGACAATGACACCAGAGAGATGTGGTCAGCTTAGCGTGAAAGAAGCACCAGGTTTGGAAAATTATGTCCCCTGCTTCTCTTGGATGGTCTCCATGCCCCACCACCACGTCAACCTGGTCACCCTGCCCTGGGCAGCAGTAAAACCTCCTGGGCTGTGGTGTCACGGTGAGAGCACTTGCTCCGGGAGGCTGAGCCCCCAGCCTGGCCCAAACCCACGCTGGGCACACTCACGTGTAGGACTCAAAGTCGCCGTTGCTTATTGCTTCGATCAGCTGCTCTGTGACTTTAATGATTTCTTGCTTCCGTACTGTTGGTTTAAAGAGAAAAAGAAAATAAAAGGAGAAAACAAACCAAAAGTGCTGGCGTTGCAATATCGGTGAGGTATCTTTTTCTCATTAGAAACAGACGACGGGGCATTGGGGGCCATTGGAAACTGTCCAGGGGGAAAGCAGGAGAGGGACTTGGGAGAGAGATGTGGGGAAGGGCTCTTCATCCCCAGAGAGGAAAGACCTCCAAAGTCAGGGCAAAACTGAAAACCCCTGTATTTTCCTAAAGAGCAAAAGGGTTAATCACTGAGTGGGCTTATTAACGTGAGCTGCCCTCGGCCCAAAAAGGTGGCACAGGCCGGTCTTGGCTGCAAAGCCTTGCCAAGCCAGGACTTTCTACCCCGTGAACTCGGAGCAGGGGCCAGCCAGGGCAGGCTGGACCAAGGACGCTCTCACCTCCCTCTGAGACAAGAGGAGAGGGTCTCAGCTGGGTGGGAGGATGGGTGGGTGATGTGGTCATCCACCCCGGGAGACACAAGGAGGGACCCCGTGAAGGGCACGGCACCATGCAGCTGCTGCTGGGGACCCCAGGCGCTGCTGGCTCAGCTGGGAAGGGACCAGGCTGCAAGAGCAGGTTTGGCTCCCCGGGATGCAGGAGGAGCTGCCAGAGGTAACCCTGGGCTTATTAACGAGGCTCTGCTTCAAATGCAAATCGGTGTCATGCTTGACAATTTTTTTTTGTACCGTGGCTAATGAAAGGAGAGGGAGCTCGTTCAGAAAGGAGGAGAGGGACCCCCATCGCTTCCCAAGCGCCACCTGCCTCTGTGCCTGCTCTCGGGGAGCCGTTCCCCAGGAGGACAAACGTCCCATTAACTCTTATGTCAGGCCAAAGTCCATCTTGCTTTGTGCTGGGATCGCTTCGTTGGGAGACTTTACAAATTAGCACTGACAAATTATTCCCTGGGTTATTCTTAGAAAGCTGGCCCTGGCAGGTGGGAGACAGGGATTTCCCCTGGAGGCTTTTCCCAAAGGGCCATTTATTTTGGAGGAGCGGGTGGCCAGGCTGCTATCCCTGCAGATTTCTGCCATTTCCATACCTCCTTGCAGGGAACATCCCTGGTTTTGGGACCCCCCCCTACTCGCCAGCAGTGCCCCAACTGCTCGTGGTGGTGACTCAGCAGTGAAACCACCTGTGGCATTTCACCCCTAAGGAATGAAAGCCACTTCTGAAGGGCCCCGAGGCAGCTCGATGGTCATGGGTTTTGCTGTAGCCAATATCTCATTAGGGTGGCCAGACTAATGACCTCGGGGCACCCCTCCAAAACAGCCTGCCCACCCTCCCGGGTACCCCCACCGGTACCTTTGGTGTCTTCGTCCTCAATGGTGGTGTTGGTGCTCTCCGATGATTCCTGAGCAAAGAACAGAAAGGAGAGACGGGACGGTGAGAGGGGTCTTCATCCCGTGCCAGGCAGAGCTCGTGTGTTTGACAGCCCCCCGAGTCCGACCCCACAGCGCTCGACTGTGCCAACGGACAGAAACCAAGGAAAACGCCAGCAGGTCCAACCCGTCCTCAACCACAGCTCTAGGGCAGCGCTGGCAGAGCCCTCCCTGACCCTCCGCTCCTTGTAGCCAAGGGCACAAGAGCTGGGCTGTGGAGGGTCTCGTAGGAACGGCGCTGCCTTTCCTACCGACGCCTGTGGGGACAGAGACGGGGGCAGGTCCGGGGTGGGTTGGTGGGTTCCTAGGAGCGTTGCCGGAGGGGCAGGGAGAGGGGCTGTGCAGGGGTGGAAGACACCATGTTGACTGTACGATAAAGAGAGAGATGTACAAATTAACAGCGAGGAGGAGCTGGGATGAGAAAGAGGGGACTGTGCAGGAGTGAGAGAGACCACACTGACCGCAGAGTAGGGAGAGAAATGTACAATAAAACAGAGTGCTTCCAAGACCCACATGGACCACCGAAGGCTGAGACACAGCTCTTTCAAGAAACAGCTGAGCACTACACAGATTTGGGGGGGAGGGGGGTACTGACCCCCCGTCTCTCTCCAGGAGCCCCATCAAGGCGACTCTGCTAGCGGAGCTAGAGCAATGGCTCTGCTAGCTCTTCCCAGCAGAGCCTTGCTTATGTATTACCCATAATACCCCGATGTAGGTTGGCAAGGTGTCCCATGACCATACAGTCCCCGCAGAGGCATGGAAGGTGTTTCTCCAAGGCTCCTTGGACCGATGCAGCCTGCAGACCTGAGTCAGGAGAACTGGGAGAAACGGCATGAGAACCCATCAGCAAGAACCAGGGCTGGCTTCCCACCAGCTGGTGGCCAGCAAGTGCCTGCACCAACCCTGTTAATGGGGTTTGTGGGTGATACGGCTTTGAGGATGTTCCCTCCAACCCCGGTGTCCCTTCTTCCCTACCCCGAGGTAACTTCCAAAAATGGGGGAAGCTGGAACATGTAGATAGGCCCAGCAATATCAGCATTGAGGAAGACGAAGGACACTCACCATTAACTGAACGCTGGAACTGGACTTTCTTTTCTGGAAAAACAAGGAGAAGAGATGGAACAGGAAGAGACACAGAGTGAGAAAGGCAGAGAGCGGCACGTGAGAGGCAGCAGCTCCTGAGCCACCCTTCGTGGTCCTCGTGGACGGGCAAACGAAAGGCGCGGGGGGCAACCTGGTGCTCCTGTAGCAACGTGCCGCTGGCTGCGGTGCTGGTGGTGCCATGCCAGCTCCCTCCCCGCGTTCCTGCTGGCACCTTTCTCTCCTGACCTGCCACGATCTCTGGTGTTGCTCATCCCAAGGACCTGGCTAGTCCCTAGAGTCAATGACCACTCTGGTGGCTCTGTGACCAGGCCAGCAAGCTCACAGGAACAGGAGTGGGATGCTGAAAAGCTAAGGCAGCTCCACCACCTGTACAGCCCTGCGCCCGCTGTGAGTGCCGTCAGACTCTGGAGCTGTTCTGGGTGCATCTGCCCATGTTGCTGACTAGTATGGAGACGCTCAGTTAGTTTTGGACCTAGACCAGTACTAAGCTGGCTGGTTTAAAGCCAGCATGGCTATTGCTACTGGACCCCACAAGGCAGACACACCGTGTGGGAAGCTGTCCTGAGCACAGCTCCAGTGCTTTAAATCAGGACAAGTCTCCTCCAAAGAGAAGACCTTGCGCATGCACAAATTTATCTCCATCCTTGATCATTACCGCTAGGCTTTAAGGCTTTTGGGTTGGGTGACCCCATAGCCACGTTTCTGCCTGCAGTCCCAAACTACTTCTGGACCCTCCTTCCTTGCTGTGCTCTGCTCCTCGTCTCCGTCTTTAATCTAGCCAGAAGACAGGGGGACGTGCACGCTGGCCTCATGCCCTTTCTCCACCTCCAGCTCCCAGGGGATGAATCACAGCGGGTGACAGGGAACACCAGTGTGCAGGAATCAGAAGCTGCAGTGCCAAATAACAGTGTGTTTTACCAGCATATTTAACAAGGCACTGGCTCTGCCTGCCCTGTAGAGGGAAAAGCAGCGCACACAGTGCAAATCTCTTGGAAAAGTCCGTGGAGCGACCCGTCAGGGTGCGTGGGTGGGCCGCAGTGTAAAAACTGCTGATATCCATTCCCCCTCATTGCTCCTTTCACATCCTAACTGGCTCCCACCAGCATCGTCACTGAGTTTCCCCCTCTGCCGGTGCAGCTCTCCCCTCCCTCCCTAGGTCCTACGTTAATCCTCGCCCCTCCTTCACCGAAACAACAGATGTCCTAAAGGGCAGAGCGAGCTGCGGTATTTCGGAAGGAACCTCATGGGAAACGGAGCCGCCAGAGTTGGGCTGTCTGCAGGAGGGGCTGACAGCTTCTGCTACCCAAGGACATGAGACGGGGCAGTAAACTGCAGAAATTTCAGACGCAACAGAATGCAACACAAAGCAGTGACCGCGTCGAGTCTGGACATACAGTAACAGGATGCAACACGGGGCAGTGAGCTCATTAATTTAGGACGGGACAGGATGTGACATGGGGCAGTGATTTCATTAGTTTACAATGTGACAAGATGTGACACTACACAGGGCAGTGAAGGTATCATAGCTACTGGGACCAGAAGACCTCCCACAGACCCCAGAGCAGGGCTCGAGGGGGATTTTTGGTCCTGTGAATGCTTTTAGTAGGGGAGGAACCTCCTGGGGAGGGTGAGTTTCGAGCCCTCTGAGCCTGGGCTAGCACCACCCCGGTGCTGAAGGGCTGTGCGGGCAGGCTGGAGGGCAGCACCAGCTACCTGGTGCCCACCTGCGTAGCTTTGGGCAGGAACGGCAGGGGTGGCTGCCTGGGACCTGCCTGCTCTCATGAGGACGGTCAGTCCAGCAGGTTTCTCCAAATGGGGACACAACTCTTCCGACAATGAATCACACCACGTGGCCTGACTTACAGCCCTGCTCTGAGCAGGCAGGACCGTTCCCTTCCCACCTTCCCACCCACCCAAGGCAGGTTTCCAGGTTCCTGCCTCGCTTTTCCAGCAAGATGGAAAGAAATGAACGTTACCCAGCGATGCCCTGACATCTGCCAGCTGCCCACGGTGGGCCATTAAAGCTTCGCCCGGAGCACCCAGCCTTCCTGTGCCCCCGTGGGTGGGTTACGCTGTGAGTCTCCCCAGGCTGAGCATGGGAATGAGAGGTGGGATTGGTAATGCTGAACGTGGCCAACACAAGCAACCTGTTGGGAATGAGCTTGCCTCGACTTTGTCTTCTCCTCCTCTACCTTCCTGGCCATCTAGCCAGGCCATCTCACCTCCACTTGTTGGAAAGGGGGCAATAAAAAAGCAAACTCTTTCTCCAGAGCTTGTACACCCTCTTGAGCGGAGTGTTGGCTGGTAGACTGCACTCAGGATGAAGCCTCACTCGCTGCTCCCTGCTCACCAGTGAGGGGCTGAGGACAGGGGATGCAAACCAGCCTCTCTGATCCCACTCTGAAACCAGACCCTCCTTGCTGAGTTTCAGTGATGGGCCAGAAGGCTGTTTACCCAAACTAGCCGTTTTGCTACAACAGCAAGTGCCCCTCTTCCCAGGATAACGTCTGCCCTCAAAGCTACTTTGAAGTCCAAGAGGGAGCATCATTAGCAAGTTGGGCTGGCAAATGGACTTCTACCACCATACCATCCCGGCAATGCTAGAGATGAAATTCAAGGCTGTCCCTTTCTGCTGGAAAATTAGATTCAGGACCGTGCCTGATGAAGCCTCTCCATCCACCAATCTCTCCTTTTACAGCTTAAAAACGCACCTCCTGATTGCTCTCACCTGTGCTCCAGCAACTCGTACCAAGTCAGCTCTACCTGTGGTGTCACTTCTCAGGTGACTCCCAGAAGCAGCCGGGACCTCAGAGCAGCAGAGGACAGGCCAGCAGTGGCTGGCAGATGGGTTGCTGGGACTCCCATGGGACCTGTCCCCTCTGTGCCAGCACTATTGTCCAAATCTCGCAATCCTGTCATGGAAGCCACATGATATCCTGACACCACGGCCCAAAGCAAGGGGGCCCCATTGCTCTCATAGCAATGCAGGCCATCAGCTTCATGTTGCAGAATAACGCTGCATGGCCCGGTTTGGAGGGTCCTGCATGGTCTCAAGCCTTGCAGGCTTGTCCTGTCCCAGCCGCTGGGTCTGGAAGGAGTGGGAGAAAGACAAGCCATCCCTAGACCTCTGGCTCCACTGAACATTTGGACTGAGGAGGGAAGAAGCCAGCTGAGGGCTCTGCTCTTCCAAAACCCTGCGCCCCTCACAGCCCCACAGCTGGGTCCCTACGAAAGGGCCAGAGGAAGGAGAGCAGCCGTGCTGCAGTCGGGCTCCCAAAGCTCTGCCTGACACCTTGCACCCCTGCCCTGCCATAGGAGATGTGATCATGCCAGCTCTCCCCCGCTGAGTGAGAGCTTGTATTCATGAAGGGAACAGGTAAGGAAAGACCCTCACATGGACCATTCCTTCCTGCAGGAGGAGTTTGTCAGAGCTCGCTAACCACCACGTCTCCGTATCATCAGAAGCAGCTGCTCAGCAGCAGGATTTTGCTCCAGGAGCCACCTTGTCCTGGAGAAGAGCTGTGGCCCCGCCTCGGAGGAGCAGGTGAACCTGAGGGCTCTGCAGCCCAAGAAACAAGGTCCACCAAGCACCGGCTTTAGAGCATCACCAAGCCATTTGCTCTGTCAAGCATCACCAAGTTCCTTTGCTCTGTTTGCCATTGGGCACAGGGGGTCAGCAGCGCTGCCAGAGAGGGTTAAAGGCACCCATGTGCCACCCAGCAGCACACCAGCCCTTGGGGAGGGGATGGGACAGGAGCTGGGGGGCAAGCCCAGCCCCACCAGCCGCAGCGGGATGCATACTGGGGCGAGCAGGAGATGCAGCCGCCCATCTCACCAGACGGCTGCTGCCAGGCTGAAGCCGTGGCTCCAGGCTGCAAAGCTGCCTCCCCCTGCCCCCTGTCCCCTCTCCTGGTCCAGCCTCTGCCTCTCCCCCTCCCTGGGGGCAGCAAGGGGCGAGCGCATTTTGCAGGCAATGAAACAGCAGCAAATTCTCCCCGCGCACCCCTCCAGCACCAGCCCGCTCCCCTCGCTCGCCGCACTGCAAAGACTCCTGTTCACTGCCTGTCCTGGCAGGAGCCGAGCCGGTGGCGCAGGGACACACCGGGCCAGGCGGGCCAACGCCGGCCCTTTAAGGCGCGGGGTGTGGTGGGGACCGCCGGCACAGCACGGAGAACCCCACCGCCGCCCCAGCAGCAGAGGGGCAGGCGGGAGAGGGCGGCAGGGACAGGGCTTGCCCTCCCGCCGGCCTTCTTCTTGGTG